AAAATAAGAGACCAAGTCCCGGAAGCTCAGGGTGGCTCCCCTGGGCAAGGAGACTTGGGATGCAGAAGTGCGTGTGGGCACTTCTGTATGTGGGCAGAGTTACTTCTTGATCTAGGGGTGCTTCCTAAGAATGCATCCACCTGTACATTTTTATTTTATGCACTTTTCTTTAAAAATATAAATCAATAAAAAGGGTAACAGCTAAAATAATAGAAACATAATCTATATCTTCCAAACAAGTAGATTAAAAAGAAAAAAAACAGGGCTGGGGGAAGTGGCTCACACCTATAATCCTAGCACTTTGGGAGGCCAAGGCAGGCGGATCACCTGAGGTCAGGAGTTTGAGACTAGCCTGGCCAGCATAGTGAAACCCCATCTCTACTAAAAATACAAAGATTAGCCGGTCGTGGTGGCAGGCGCCTGTAATCCCAGCTACTTGGGAGGCTAAAGCAGGAGAATTGTTTGAACCCAAGGGCAGAGGTTGCGGTAAGCCAAGATCATGTCACTGCACTCCAGCCTGGGCAACAGAGCAAGAGTGCAAGTCAAAAAATAAAATAAAATATAAATAAATAAAACAGGAACAGGGCTTTCAGGGGTGTCAAAATACTTAACAAAGCTGAAAGCAAAAAGTGGGCTAGGCGGGAGGGCAGTAGACAGAAAACACACAACACAATGTGAGTGTCAGAGACAGGAGGTTAGTTCAGTGCATCAGGGGTTAGTGACTTGTCGGAGACCATCCAGGGCAACTGCCACCTCATCACTCACCATACTGTACCAAGAGGAGAGGGAGGTCCCACCCCAAGGCAGCGTTCCATTCTGACTGTGTTTAAAATAAATATATGCTAATGGTGGCTGTGTATATGCATTAAGAAAGTTCTGGGATTATTTATCAAAATGTTAAACAGTCATTATTCTGGGCGGTAGCATTGTGGGTGGTTTTTTTATTTCCCACTTTCTACCTCTATTTCTAATTTTCAACAATTGATTTGTGTTACTTAGATTGCTTTTTAGGAAGTGGGGAGTAAGTGGAACGGTAAGATGGGACCATGGTGTGTAGATCACTGTGGGCCAAACTGAGTTGAGACTTCCTACAGTAGGGAGCTATTCATAGTTCTTGAGCAGGGACGTGATGGGACAAAAGCTGGGTTTGGAGAATATCTGTCCCCCGGTAGCAGAAAAGCAGTGTTGTGGGATCAGAAGCCAAGAGGTGCTGAAATGATCCTCAAGGAACATGGGGGAGAGGTGGATGGGGAGAGCTTGATGATGCAAGAAGGAAACGGAAAACGTGACCCTTTGAGGCCGAGCGCGGTGGCTCACACCTGTCATCCCAGCACTTTGGGAGGCCAAGGTGGGCAGATCACTTGAGGTCAGAGTTCGAGACCAGCCTGGCCAACATGGTGAAACCCCATCTCTACTAAAAATACAAAGCTTAGCTGGGCGTGGTGGCGCACACCTGTAATCCCAGCTACTCAGGAGGCTGAGGCAGGAGAATTGCTTGAACCCTGGAGGTGGAGGCTGCAGTGAGCCAAAATCATGCCACTTTGACCTCACTGCAACCCTACGAAGTAGAACTATTGCTGTCCCTGTTCTGTAGAGGAGGACGGTGATGCTCAGAGAGGTCGAGTGACTTGTCTGAGACCATGACCAGGGGATGGCGGGACTAGAACTTGAACTCTTGCCTCTACTGTGTCTTGAGAGCTTGCTTGAACCCGGGAGATGGAGGCTGCAGTGAGCCAAAATCATGCCACTGCCCTCCAGCCTGGATAACAGAGCAAGACTCTGTCTCAGAAAAAAAAAGAAAAAAAAGAAAAAAAAATGAGCTTTGGATTCTTTCAGGACACTTGGGAGGGGAAAAAATGTGAAACATGGTGAGTTTCAGGTGGATGAGTAGGACCGGGGAGGAGGGAGTGTCAGGAAGTTGATGCCGAGTCTTGGGAGCCAAGAGGGAAGGACTGACTTCAATTAAGGTTAACCTCAAATGCTCCAGGAAAGTCAGTGGATTTGCAGCTAGAACATCTCTGGTGTGGAGGAGAAGGCGGGTTAGTAAGAGCGCAGGCCATGGTGCATTGCCCAGGAAGTCCAGGTCACTTTCTGACATATCCTCCCTTTGACCTCACTGCAATCCTACAAAGTAGAACTATTACTGTCCCTGTTCTGTAGACGAGGAGGGTGAAGCTCAGAGAGGCCGGGTGACTTGTCCGAAACCATGACCAGGGATAATGGAGCTAGAACTTGAACTCACGTCTACCATGGACAAACCCCCACTTTACTTTCCAATAAACCATTTCTGTAGAGGTGTGCCCACACTGTGGGACTGAAGAGCAGAGACGGTGCCAAAGGGCGGGAGGGAAGGGGAGAGGAGGGGAGGGGAGGCGAGGGGAGAGGAGAGGAGAGGAGGAAACTGGTGCGGATGATGCTGTCTGCAAACTTAGCAACCAAGTGAAGGTGAAGGCAAAGGATGGAGCAGGCTGTCTTGCAGAAGAGACCTACTCCTGTGTTAGCAGCAAGGACACTGCATTCTGTCATCTGCTGGTAAGGGGAGACATTGAACTATCCTTCCTCCTTCTTGTAATTGAAGACTCAGTGGTCCCAAGTGGTACCCAGCTCCCAAGATACCGTAGAGGCAAGAGTTCAAGTTCTAGTCCCGCCATCCCCTGGTCATGGTCTCAGACAAGTCCCTCGACCTCTCTGAGCATCACCGCCCTCCTCTACAGAACAGGGAAAGTAACAGTTCTACTCCGTAGGGTTGCAGTGAGGTCAAAGTGGCACGATTTTGGCCATCTCCAGATTCTCTTCATCCTGTCAAGCTGAAACCCCGTCCGGGTTAAACGCTGAGTCCCACCTCCAGCCCCCAACCCCCAGCAGCCAGCATTCTACTTTCTCACAACACCACACCACGTTTGTACACCTTTGAGACACCGCAGGACGAGGTGGGCACCAGACCCAGGCTGCGGGTTTGCAGAGAACCCACGGTCTGGAAGGTCCTCTCCTGACCCATCTGAATCCACAGTGCCCTCTTCGTCCCTGGATCTTGCTGGGAGACAGCCGGCGGGCTATGTGTAGGGGCGATGAGGTATTTATTATCCCACCTGGGACACTCCCCCAACACTTCAGCATGAACATCTCAAACACGTAGCAACGCAGAGATGAGCTCACAGTGTGGCTTGTGTCCTCACTACCCGGAGGCCACGTGGACACTGGCCCTCCCTGCCGGGTCAGGCAGCTGTCCGCCCATCCTCCCTCACCCAGCCATCCGTCCACTTTGGCTTTTTGACAAATGACAGAGCAGACTCCAGGCTCCAGCCCCCTCCTCTATCTAGTATCTTAGTGTGCCTATTGCCAGCTCATGGCCAACATCCGTTTACAGCTGCTTAAGTACTTGCTGAATTCGGGCAAATGCACATACCTGTGTAACCTCAACCTCTATCAGGGTCTATGTTACCACATCCCGAAGCCCTCCCTGCTTCCTGCCATTTCCTGCTCAGTCTCCGCCCACGCACACAGCGACCACCGTTCATCTGGGCTTTATCCACCACCTGGGGGACCTGGCAGTGTGGGACTTGACAGACATGGAATTGCACAGTGAAGCCCATTCGGGTGGGACTTCCTCCACTCAGCACAGCCTTGCCGAGCTTCACCCACGTTGTCATTTTTCCCTTTCTGCTGCTGAGTGACATTACACTGCACAAAATGCCACAGTGTGTTCATCCATTCTCCCTTGGGTGGGTGCCTGGGCGGTCTCCGGTCTTGAGTGAAGCGGCTCTGTCCATTCTTGTGCCAGCTGCTGCACCTTTAAGAGGAAAAGTGAGCATAATTTATTTTCTGTTTTGTTTTGTTTTGGGGACAGGGTCTTGCTCTGTTGCCCAGACTGGAGTGCAGTGGTGGGATCTCAGCTCACGGCAACCTCCACCTCCCAGGCTCAGGTGATCCTCCCGTCTTAGCCTCCCAAGTAGCTTGGATTACAGGTGTGCACCACCACATCAGGCTAAATTTTTTTAAATTTTTTTCTAAAGACAGGGTTTCACCATGTTGCCCAGGCTAGTCTCAAATTCCTGGGCTCAAGGGATCTGCCTGCCTCAGCCTCTGAAAGTACTAGGAGGGAGCACAGTTTCAAGTTAAGCAGCCACCACCGGGTGAGCTGGGACTGCCCAGCACGCCGGCACCCCGGGCAGTGCACAGAGCACCCTGCAGGGCCCAGTTTCCACCACTTGAGTGGGAATCTGCCAGTTCCACCCCTATGGCATGGATGCCCTTCCTCTGCCTCCTCCCTGAACTCAGAAGTGAATGCACATCTTTCTGCCACCTGGCTTCCCTCCAGACCTCGGCACCAGGCCACTGTTCCACCCTAAACCTCTTGTCTGGGGCTCCAGCAATATCTGCTGATGAATTTTCTTTGCTCTTTCACGACACTCTTCTGGAACATCATATTTCCAGGTTCCCCTTGCTGGCTGTAAGACCGCCAGCTCTTCCATTTGTAGAGAATCTTGGTGTCTGAAATCAACCACATCTTAGAGATGCTCCCTCCCAGCTTGGCCTTCTCCTGTGACCTTGAGTGTTCTCCCCACCTGCGTTCTTGTTCGCCAGCTCCAAGGCTCAATGCAAAGAGTCAGGCTGCCCATGGCTGCCAAATCTCCGTCTTCCCGTCATCTTTCTCAGAGAGGCCTACCGGCCCGCACACCTTCTCCTGCGCCCTGAAAGCCATCGCCAGACCAGGGCTGTACACACGGGATGCCTCAAACCAATTTTGGTGAAATCGGCAAATCCGTTTATCCCTCCTCCGTGCAACGTCCCAAGGGGAGACCCGGGAGCCCAGGCAGCCTGAGTGAGTGACTCACACAAGCCAGAAGTTTCTTCTATAACAGATAAAACCTGCCTTGTCCCAAGAGAGGTCCTCCCGTATTCACTTTCTAGCCTTGCAGCGACGTTGGGTTCCAGCTAACTTGGGTTCTGACATCCGAAGCTCCAGGAGGCATCTTTATATTTACGTTTAGCTTTTTCGTGATTCTGGCTGTATGTGGGCCAGCACGCCTTAGCCACGGAAGGACTCTGATAAATATTTGTGGAAGAAAGAGTGGGAGGAAGGGAGAGCAGGACAGCAGCATGAAGGAAGAGAAAGGTCCAGGGGGTCTCCTGCAGGCGCACTGTTTGCCTGGCCAGTGTGTAAATATGTGTGTACCAAAACTATCCACGTTTTTTTTGAGACAGGGTCTGCTCTGTCACCCAGGCTGGAGTGCAATGGTGCAATCTCAGCTCACTGCAGCCTCAACCTCCCAGGCTCCAGCAACCCTCCCACCTCGGTCCCCCAAGTAGCTGGGACCACTGGCTTGCACGACCACGGCCGGCTAATTTTTTTTTTTTTTTTTTTTTTTTTTGTAGAGATGGGGCCTCACTATGTTGCCCAGGCTGGCTAGTCTTGAACTCCTGGGCTGAAGTGATCCTCCCGCCTTGGCTTCCCGAAGTGCTGAGATCCCAGGTGTGAGCCACTGTGCCAGGTCTACGGTTTTTTTTCCTTGATAATAACTCTAAGGGCAAGGCCTTAAGGAAAAAGAAAAACAGGCGAAGGCGCTTGGGCAAAAATTGGGATTCAAGCAAGTTGTCTACAGGAAGAAGTTCAGTGTCGCTGAGCTCAGAACACAAGGCTGCCTCCCAGCTGAGAAGCTTGTGTCCTGTGTTACTCAAGTCGGGATGTGACGGCAGCCTCACCAGGCCAGGAAGGGAAATCCACGTGTCCTCACAAATCAGCAATGCGGCCAGCGGCGGTGTCTCCAGCCAGCCAGCGTCGGCTCCCCCCACTCGCTGCTCTCAGCCGTGCCCCATGGGTCATTCTTGACCAACTCAGAGTACTGAAGGCAATGCTGGATTTATTTTACAGGCAAATGCATTTCAATGAAATGAGCCCTCCTCCACCCCCCAAATCCTCTGTCAGCACTCCAGCATTTAAAAGTGGGAACTTTTTAAAAGCCACAGCAAACGGCAAATGTTCAACCTGTCAAACGAGGTCTGTAGCTAGACACGCGCTCACTATACCACCCAGAGCTCCAGCCGCCCATCCGTCTCTCCCATCCCACATGAGACTTAGCCTTCATTTGACCTTCGAAAACCCACAGACGCATAAACAGCGTGAGATAACACGCAGCCCTGAGACGTCCGCTCTGAAGGCAGGCTGGCTGAGAACCTCAGAGAGGGAAGTGGCTGCATTGTTTAAATAGAGCATGTTAGTCACTGAGTTCCAGCGCAGCCTCCTCCCAGCAGCTGCCTTTTGCTATATCACTAGAGCAAATGTGCTCTTGGCTCCAGAATCACAGGAAAAGAGTGTGATGGAGGGGTCAAAGTGATAATACCTGGGAGCAACGAAGCAGAGGCTGGGAGGAGGTGGTGTTCCAGGAACACACTTGCAAAGCAGATGCTGGCGTGTCTTGCTTCGCAATTGTCAGTAGCCTCAGAGCAGCACACAGACATTTCCATCACCTAAGAAACTCGGGACAGTGAAATGCAACGGAGAAATTAGCTGATTTGGGCCAGGCATGGTGGTTCACCTCTGTAATCCCAGCACTTTGGGAGGCTGAGGCACGTAGACCACTTGAAGCCAGGAGTTCAAGACCAGCCTGGGAAACCTACAAACTCTACAAAAACAAACAAACAAAAAAAATTGTAATTGGCCAGGCCTGGTGGCTCACACCTGTAATCCTAGCTACTCAAGAGGCTGAGATGGGGTGATCCTTTGAGGCCGGAAGGTTGAGGCTGCAGTGAGTCGTGATTGCCACCTCACTCCAGCCTGGGCGACAAAATGAGACCCCGTCTTTAAAAAAAAAAAAAAAGGAAGGAGGGAGGGAAGAGGAAGGAAGGAATGAAAGAAGGAAGGAAGGAAGGGAAAAGGAAAAGAAAGAGGGAGGGAGGGAGGGAAAAGAAAAGGAAGGAAGGAAGGAATCAACCTATTTATAAAAGATCTGGAATTAGGCATTTCTGTTGAAAAAGGGCCAGAGTTGGACCAGTGACACCAGTGATAGAATTAGTCCCTGTGCTGTGTGGTCTGAGTGAGGATGTATGGAAGTACATGGTGGACACATGCAACAAAACAACAAAAATTCAAAATGAAGACGAAGGCAGAGCAAAGCCAGCATCAGGAAGTCAAAATAAGTAACCCCATGGTAATGCATGGACAGGACTTTCAGGAACCAAAAGCAGAGCATGGGAGGCCAGCACTGGAGTGTTGGGATGCTCCGGTGGGGGCTGGGGAGTTCCACACTACCAAATCCTGAGGCAGCGTGGCCAGAGGTGTCCAAAGGGGTGGCAGAGGGACCCAGCAACATTGCTGCGGGGGGAGAGTTCACACAGCAGCCCAAGACCCTGCCCCTGGAAGGCAGCCTCCAAGGTCGGCCCTTGCCTGGCACCTGGGAACTTGGACTTGGGGAGGGTTCCCACCGTTTCCAGAGCTGACATGGGTAGATCCATGTGCCTAAAGTGGGTCAAGCGTTATCACCAGAATGGTTAAAACCAATACGTTGGTAAAGCAAGCCACACCAGGCTTCTTGATAGGATTTCCAAAATCAATGCATCCTAAGTGTAAACTAGATCGATTACCAACAACAGCAACAAAAAGTCAGGATTCACTTTGCCTCTCTGTTTTGGGTTGAGCTGTGACTCCCAAAAGGATATATTGAAGTGTGCACCGCTAGATCTTGTGAATGTGAACGGATTTGGATAGTTCCTATATGATCTTTGCAGATGAAGTCAAGTTCAGATAAGGTCATGCTGGATTGGGCTGGGCCCCCACCCAGTGACTGTGCCCTCATAAGAACAGGGGAATCTGGACCCAGGGAGGAAGGCCGGGTGCTGACACAGGGGGGACTGGGGTGATGCATGCACAAGCCACGGACTGCTGGCCACCCACGAAGCAAGGAGAAAGGCAGGGAGAGGCCCTCCCCGGAGGCTTCAAAGACAGCACGGCCCTGTGCACATCTCAGCTGTGAACTGCTGGCCTCCAGATGTAAGCCGAGCACAGTTCCATTGATTTAAGGCATGCAGTTTGTGGTACTTTGTTTCGGCAGCCCCAGGAAACCTACACTGAGCAACATAGTATGGGTGGAATGTCCCCTGCGTCCTCTCATGTCATGTCTGAAGCTTTCTCCCCACTCCAAGTATTTCAAGGAGATGCACACGACCCAGCTTCCCTTTGCGTAGAAGTGAATTGGCCTCAGCAAACCAAGCGGCACTAGCCATGGTTTGACGCACCCTCCCCATCCACCGGCCACTTCTCTTCTTGCAAAGCAGAGCCTCTGACACTCAAAGTCAGGGCCGAATCAGTCAGGGTGAAAGGACACCTCCCATGACAGATGGGTTAGTTCTCAGTCACTGACAGCCTGGCTTGACAAGAAGCCCGTAGACACCCAGGTGCCTGCCCACGGGGGATAAGCCACACAGCTGCAAGCTTCACGGGAGCTGTTCCTGTGTGGGAAAAAAACTAGTCTTAAATTCTATATATGGGAATCAAAAGAAAACCTGTACCTCCAAAGCCCTTGTCCTGGGTGCTTTAAAATGTCCAAGACAGGCTTTGGAATCTTGATACCACAAAGCAGACTTTTAATTCACATACATGCCCAGAAGCACCAAAGAACTCACAGCAGGGTCTACAGCAAGTTGGCAACATGGACAAGTGGACAAGGGGATGGATAATTCACGACCCTATAAAAAGCTCCGAAGAAGTCACACTTGACTGTGGCCACAGCTCTTCAACATCGTGTCTAGAGATTCCCAGGGCCTCTTAAAAAGGATCTTAGAGCCCAGTTCCTCCATTCGAAGGATTAGGAATTTTGTAGCCAGGAATGTGAACTGACACTCTCCAGGCTTCACAGAGGGAGGGGCAGAGCTAGGCTCCTGGCTCCCTGTGCCTTCCTCGCCCATGTCCAACCTGGCCCAGTGGGCCTGCAATCCCCACAGGAGCACCCTGCGTATTTTTTCTTAATTGATACATAAGCGTACATATCTATGGGGTAATGTGACAGTTGGGTGCATGAATACAATGTGCATGATCAAATCAGGGTAACTGGATATCCATCACCTCCAACCTTTGTCATTTCTTGTGTTGGAAACATTCCAAATCTTCTCTTCTAGGTATTTTGAAATATACAATAAATGACTGCTGACTAGAGTCACCCTACTGTGCTACAGAACACAGGACCCTGTTCCCTCCTATCTGGCTGTATGTTTGGAATGAACTCAGTTGTCTTCTCCCGGGAAAAAGGGCTCAGAGGCGAGTGATGTCTCAGCACGTGGTGGGGTTGGGCCGGGCACCCAGATCTGCAGACGTTCTCCCACACAGCCTGTGCCTCTGAATTCTGGGCAAAGGGTTTGATCCAGCCTGGAGGGCATGTGAGCAAAGGCTTCAAGAAAGACTTTCCTTGAGCTTCAGCGGGGGATATCTGTGACCAGGTGGAAGGGGTGCCTTCATTTTGGCACGAAGAAGGAAAGAGGGGAGGGAAAAGGAACACATCTCATGCGCTAGCCCTGGAGCCAAACGTCACTGATTCTTGGTGTAGCAAAGCCAGGCCAGTGATCTGGGGGCATCTGTGATGATCATTCAGATGAGGGGGCTCACCCCAACTGTTGTCACAGGAAACAGTCCAGAACCTGGCTGCTGCATAGGGACGTTCCCATGAGGTGTGAGTTCTCCCCAGTGGCTCTGCGTTATCCAGCAGGCCAACGCCCAGCTGGGCTCATTCCCGGGTGTTAGCCTTTGCCTGGCCAAGGCCCATCTCCTGTGTCTCTACAGGACTTTGGGGACCACTGTGGATCACCAAGTGTTCTGCACACCAAGGACACAAAGCGGAGGCTGTGACCCTGCGATTTAAAACTCTTTCCAACGCGAGAACACTGGAGGTCATCTGGGCACCTCTGCCAAGGTAGGGATGGCTCGTGGACTCTGAGTCCCCATGATGAGACAGCAGAAAAGATTGTGCCTGCCCAGGTTGGGAACTTCTAGAAATGGGCTCAGACATAGAACGCTTTGGGGAGGAGAATGGCAAGGGGCTGATTTCGGCCTTGCTTTGTACTTGCTGATAACAGGAAATGTACCTGAGCTCACACATGTGGGGACTTCCCTCGCAGTCACCCTGAGCTCTGGGTGTGTGGTGTGGCTGGCTGCTTGCAGAATGAAGTGCAGGTAGGGGTTGGCAGAGAGGATGGCAGGCGCGGGAGGACTCGCCCGAAAATGCTTCCTCCCCTTCCAACCCTCGGTGACTTATGGGGTCATCGAGTCAGATGGGATCCCCACAAAGACCGTTTCCTTTAGCACTTTAGGAAGCGCCCCTCTTCCTGCAATCCCAGCATGGCTCAGGACACCTTAGGGCACAGGGCCCAGCTCTGTTTGCAGAGAGAAGAGCCTAGAGGGAACGCGGCCCAGCTCCTCCGAGTTGAGGGAGGGCAGTGACTCCACGGGGAAGGAAGGGGGCAAAGCCAGAGGGAGTGAAGGCCGTGTGAGGGGAGGCCGGAAACGGCGAAGCCAGGGCCGTGCTCCGGACCAGCCCGTGCTAAGGAGTTCAGGCATTTTGTCCCATTGGCTCCTTCTATCCATGTTCCAGTGGAGATTATAAGGCCCCGCTTTACAGGGGAGGATCAGAGGAGCTGGTGACTTACCCAGCAACACACAGCACGGGGCTCCGGCCGGGGCAGCATCACGGACACCCTGCCTGCCCTGCACCCACAGCCTGTCTGAAATCCAGCACACACACCAGGCCGCCCTGTGTCTGCGCCCCCATCCCGCTGGGATGTGGCTGTGCATGGTCGGGCAACCACTGGCACGCACAGCCCCACTTCCACACTCCCACACTCCCACGCCACGCCAGCCACAAGGAGACCACAGACCCACGGCTGGGCCTTCCAGCTGGGCTGGGCCGCCGCCCGCTCCCCCAGCAGCAACCCTGGGAACGGAGGCTCCATGGGGAACTGAAAAACAGTGGCACAGTCCAGCTGGAGTGGGGGAGCTCGGCTCCTGGGGACTCCGCCTGGGCACCCAGTGGAAGCCACGTCTATGTTCACATTTTGCTCACCAACCGTCCCTCCAACACCTGCCTTTCCCGGTATCAGCGCGCCCCTTGGGGGCCTGACCATGTCTTCCCTCCCCACCTGTCTATCTCCAGGCTTCTCTCAGAGCCTGGCCACCATGAGACAGTGGGCTGTCCCCTGTCGACCAGCTCGCTGCAGCTGCAGACCGGGGCTCGGGGCCACTCAGAGGAAGACTGCGGGAAGAAGAGAGGGGGCCTCCGGGACCTCCTCTGGGAACAATGGTCTGGGGACCAGGGGCACTGTCCCACGCTCCCTCCCCTCAGCTCTGAGCTTCACATGGTGTGCTGAATGCTGGACGAAGGGGATTCAGTGGTACTCGGGAGAACGAGTCAGGAAACACAATTCTACCCCACCAGCCCTTGCCTCACATGGGCACCTGAGATGCACCCCAGCAACTGAGATGATCCTTCGATAACATTTCACCTCTCTTCTGGGACCCCCATCAATGCTCAGCCTGCATTCAAGAACTGAGGAATCCTGTTTTGCTTGGTCTCGGGGGCACACCGGGCACTGTGCCAACTGCTCTTGAGTGTTCTGGACAAGCTTCTGGACCTGCTTTGCCGGGCACACCAAGGCTCACCAACAAGGGTGGCGGGCTGGGTGCTCCTGGCCCAGAACGGAGTCTCAGAGCGGAGCTGGAGCACAGCACAGCCCGGCCGCCCTACTGCACTCGCCACCTGCCATGGGGTCTAACTCATCTCGGTCCCCACTCTCCAATGACCCACCCCAAGTTCCATCCCGGAAGAGCTGGTACCCATCACTCCATGGGAAGCCAGCTGTGAACATGGCTCAGTGGCTTCTGAGTATTAAAGGGCAGGAACGCCAGCACCCCCCACCCCCGCTGAGGGCCCCAGGAAGAGGACCCCAGGCCACACTGGAAACTAAATACCTGGGCCCAGCCTGTGATTTATCAGCCATGTCACCTGCCTGAGTCACCCCTGTGGCTACCAAGAGGCCTGAGCAGTAAGCCAGGGCCCAGGCCTTCTCACGAGAGTAGGGAAGGATTGAACTCAAGGCCTCCTAAAGTGGCCAAGCTCGAAGATTTATGATTCTGAGTTACATAATCCACAGGGCCCATTTCCTCATTTGAAATGGAGGGACTTGCTGAGGACCCCAAGGCACTTCCACTTCTCCACGTCAAAGCCATTCTCTGCAGAAGGCATCGGGGACACAGGCGCATTCCTGGGAGCTCCAGGACATCCCCTGGAAGCTGAGGTTCCTTCTGTCCTTCCGAATGCCTGATGTCCACACACTTTCTTATAATTTGCCTCTTTCTTCTAAACATAGAATTTTCCTAATTCTCTTGAGGTTTTACTTCATGATGAATTCTAAGAACAGCAGTCACTCGTATTTTTTCCAGGAAACACTTTGGACTCCAAAGCCAAATACAAAAGCACTTCCACCCGAGTCCCTCTGGTCCTGAGAGCTTGGGGAGAAACTTAAATCAGCTCAAAAGCCAGAAACCTGTTTTGATAATAAGGTTTTCTGCCTTCCTCCTATTGGCTTTGATACTTGTGGGGTTGGGGGGTCTTTTAATTTCAACTTTTAGATACAGGGGGTATGTGTGCAGGTTTGTTACATGGGTATACTGTACCCCAGTAGTGAACATTGCAACCCATAGGTAGTTTTTCCTTTTTTCTTTTTTTTTTTTTCTATTTTTTTTCTTTTTGAGATGAAGTCCTGCTCTGTCACGGGGCTGGAGTGCAGTGGCGCCATCTCAGCTCACTGCAGCCTCCACCTCCTGGGTTCAAGTGATTCTCCTGCCTCAGCCTCCCAAGTAGCTGGGACTACAGGCGCATGCCACCATGCCCAACTAATTTTTGTACCTTTAGTAGACATGGGGTTTCACCATGTTGGCCAGGCTGGTCTTGAACTTCTGACCTCATGATCCACCTTCCTCAGCCTCCCAAAGTGGGGATTACAGGTATAAGCCACCATGCCCAGCCTCCTGAAAAGCCAATAGGTAGCTTTTCAGCCGACGCCCCCTCCTCCCCTCCCTGGTAGTAGTCTTCAGTGTCTATCCTTTCCATGTTTATGTCCATGTGTGTTCAAGTTTTAGCTCCCACTTACAAGTGAGAACAAGAGATATTTGGTTTTCTGTTCCTGCTTGAACTTGCTTAGGTGAATGGCCTCCAGCTGCATCCATGTTGCTGCAAAGGACAGGATCTCATTGTTTTTTCTGGCTGCATACTGTTCCTTGGCATATAGGTACCGCATGTTCTTTATCCAGTCCTCCACTGATGGGCACCTAGGTTGGTTCCATGTCTTTGCTATTGTAAATAGAGCTATGTTGAACATATGTGTGCATGTCTCTTTTTGGTAGAATTATGTTTTCCTTTAGGCATATGCCCAGTCATGGGATTGCTGGGTCAAATGGTAGCTCTGTTTTCAGTTCTTTGAGAAATCTCCAAACTGTTTCCCACATGGCTGAACTAATTTACTTTCATCCTTTTTATAGTAGCTTTTGAAATAATCTTTGAAGTCAAGTTTCACGGGCATTGATTGTGTCTGCTCCTCCCAGTTCCAAGGTGGGGGTCACGGTCCCCATTTGACAGAAGAGCCACTGGTCTTGAGCTTAAGGGACAGTCCCTGAGCCATGACACCACATCCTCCAGTGCAGTGTGCCTCCCAGCTCTCCGTCTGGTGTGCTGTCTCCTCGGAAGCCCTGCCCCACAGAGGCTAATTCCAGGGTCTGGGCTGAGACCAGCTCCAGGGAGCTGCGCCTTACACTCCCTCCAGCTGAGCTTGCGTCACACGCCTTGCTCACCCCTCTAACCTGTTCCACAGCCACTGACACTGTTTCTAAAGTCCGGCCTCGAAGAACAGAGTATGGGGTTGCAATGGCTTCTCGAGCCACAGAGTGGTGGCTCACCCCTCTTTTCTACCCACTTTTCTATATTCAAATTTTACTCAGCTCACTGGGAAACATGAAAGATTCAGAACTGGAGTCAAAACAATTGCAGTGAGGCCACTGGACACTCCTCCAGCACAGCAGGTCTCAGGGCAGGGGCACAGATGAGCTGGCATGGTCACTGCAGGTCCTGGAGCTCCCAGGAGGCTTTCTAGTAGACCTGTCTGCCCCCACGACTGATCTCTTACATAATTGTGACATAAAGTTGTCACACCCAGCAGTGGATGCCGAAACCCCACCACGTGTCCTCGGGTGGCGCACCTGTGGCAGGCTTCAAGATACACCTCTAAAATTTTCCAAAGGGACCTTCGATTCTGGTTTCCCTGGGTAAGGAGTCACGTCCCCCAGCACACGTGTGCGCTGCATCACAGCGAGAGGATAAGTGACTTGCAGCACAGCAGATTACGTTTCTAGACCCACAGAAGCCGTCAGGGCAGGGGAGCCGGCCTCAGCTCCCACCCGCTCACCAGAGCCCATTCTGGGCCCCTCATTCCAGCTCCTCATCAGTGACACCATGGCAGTGATGTGCAGTGGGCCATGGTGGAGATTTTTATACCCTGTGATGAGTAAGCACTGGGCGATCGGGGCTTTCCCCAAGGGAGCTGATTGTTCGGTTCACCAGTGCATCACCAGTGGAAGGAGCCCTGAGCAAGGGCTGGGCTGCATTCCTCTCCTGTCCACAGAGAGGTGGGGCTCCATGAACCCCCAAACCCCTTCTGGTTTCTGAACCAATCCACTGCACAGCAGAAAGGGGCTCAGAGGAAGGGCCGGAAGCCCAGACTTACTGCCCGGGTTTCCCTCAAGGGCTGCCTCTCCTGTTCTCCGAGATGCATCAGGCCCCCACAGGGACAGGGCCTGCGGCTGCTCAGCGTCTGTGCGGGGCTGTTTGACAGGCCCACTGAAACAGAGCCCTCATCCTCTCTCTCCAGCCAAGCAGGACTCAGTCTGCCAAGGGCATTCCTGGCTATTTATTTTCTGCTTATGATTTATAAGGGACACCCTCTCTTCCGGAAAGGCTGGGGGGAGCCTGGTACCCCGACAAGCAGCACCTGCCACTGCAGAGAAGAATCTGGAATGTGGGCCCCAGGGTGGCTGGGGTCGAGTCATCCTCTCCAGGAGACCTTGTGGGGTGACATTTGGTCCCCTGTCCCCAGTCCTGCTCCAGAATCTTCCAGCCTCAAAGATGCAGAACTGAGTAGAGACCCTGGTCCCCTAGACCGGCACAGGGAGCCAGGACGCTGACGTGGTGATCAGCACAGAACATTCCGCATGTCACGGCCTGGAATACACCTGCCAGTGTTACCTGCACACTCCCTCGCTTTGAAATATCTGCTCAGAAGCCACATCATAAACAGGCAGCTTCTTGGCGAGCTCGGGGTTAGACAGCAGGAGCTGCATGAGGCAGACGCCCCATAGACTGCTGGGATGCCTGGGCCTCCCTCCTACGATGTCCGGTTGCTCACAGCCAGTAAGCCTGGGACACCATGCAGCACAGCTGACACCTGCTGCTCAGGCACAACCTGGCGGGACAGCTGAGTTCCTGTGCCTCCACTATGCCCATGCACTCTGTGGTCCTGCCAGACCGTGCGTGCCCAGAGACCACTTGCGACCTTGGCCGACTTTTGTCTCTGCGCTGGTCCAGTCACCTGACGAATGTGTGAGTGCTGGTCAAGGCTGCCCAGGTTCCAGCGCTGGCTCTGCCTCCTGCCAGCAGTGGACACGGGGCACGCCACGGACTGCTGCCCACCTCTGTGTGCTCAGCCTCAGGTCGGCAGGGTGCTGGGCTCACCCACTGGGCCTGGAGGGCTGCGTGGATGACACCTGACAGGCTCGTGGAACAGCACCCAACACAGGGCCAGGGTGCACCACAGGAGGACCGTGGCTCCTGAAAGGGTGGGAGCTGAGCTCAGAGCGCAGAGCTCTTTCTTTTTCACCCTCCCCTCCAAGTGGTTCAGGACCTCCTCCGTGGACAGGAGGTACATTCTTGGAGGTACATTGAGGTGCAGGAGGTTCCCCCACACCCATCCCAGATACCCAGAGACAATCCATTGCACTGCCCTGCTAGACGCTGCTGGTGTTGAAATGGCTCCTGCGCCTTCTGCCCTGGGCCCCAGCCACTCAGGGTCCTGCTCCCTTCTCTGCAAGGCGGCCGTCGCAGGCTGAGGGCCACAGCGCTCACCAAGCCCCTTCTCTGCTGAGCAGCTCCCATTCCCTTCACTGCTCATCACTCCTCACCAGCTTGCTTGGGTCTCTGGACTCCAGCTGCACCCTCGCTGGTCAACTCCTGGTAAGCGGAGGAGTTTCTCCTTA